ACTCCCTGGCACCCTAAGATTCGAAGGGAGAGCGCCCGGTTCTTCCCGAAAGCGTCCCCTCCACTTCCCTCTGCCCTTGGCTTCTTCACTACTGTGAACTGAAGAAGGTAAAGCTCAAGCAGATCGATGTGTATTTTTTTCTGAAATCACGACCTCTCCAAATCCTAAACCTCAAAGAGCCTGGTTGGGTAGGAGAAAGGCAAGTTATTTCGGGCGGGGGCGGGGGGTGGGGCAACAGCACCCCTCCGAAGGCGCTCGCGCGGCCTGGCGGGCGCCTCGCCGGGCTCTGCGCGGCCGGGCGGAGTGGCTGGATTATGTAAGTAACAGCCCTCCATGTGCTCACCACCATCTGTTAATATCTTGATATTGGAAAGTTCGGTGCCTGAGGCAAAGCCAGGGTTGGCGACACAGGGCTCCCAGCCTACTCCTTTCTACTCCAGGGCAGGGAACGTACCTCCCTTTGAGTGTTTTCTCCCACATCCATAAAATCAAGTAGTAGTGTGCCCCTTCAATCACTGACAGCCAACCCCCTCTCCTCGCTGGTGTGTTTGTGGAAGAAGAGTGATTTTCTTCGAGGCCACTTTTTTGTAATGAATCCTTTCAATGCATTTATATTTTTATGACAATTCTAGGCTCCTTTAGGCTTTGTGGTGGACCCTGATTTGGGGGTGGGGGCTTTATTGTTTTAAACATTACTTTTCCTGGCAGCACCCCTGACCCCAGATTCTTCTAAGGGTTATATTTCAACTTCTTTGGAGTGATTCGCTTCTGTTTACTTTGAAAGCTGTTGGTTAAACAAACATCACTCGGAGGCTTCTAAGCAGTGGGGTTCCCAGGAGAGAAACCGTGCAGCTGCTACTTGCTACTGATCTCGTGGCATTTCACTCCCCCCCCCCCCATTCAGAGCAAACCCAGGTTGGGGCTTGGCGTCACACTGAGTGCAGGGGTTGAGAGACACACACAGAGAGACTATGGCAGTCACCCTGCCTTTAGACAGCCTGAAGCAGGCCGGCCTGCACCCTATAGTTGGTTTTTCTTTCTTTCTCTTTCTCTCTTAAGGGTGGTGGGGGATAGTGAATGGTGGATGGTGATGTGTGTGTGTCCAGGCTGCACTTCTCCAGCATTGTTCTCCTGAAATTCACATCCATGTGTGTCTCTCACCTGGATCTGGTTGAAATTCCCAGAATTGGTTTGTTTAGGACCTGCTGACAGTTGTTTGTAAGGTTTTAAATTATTTGTATGCAGTCTTCTCTCCTACCCCCAACTACTGGCTTGAAGAAAGAACCAGAGAGGGAAAAATACACCGGGGAAATGTCAAGGCGAAGTGTGTTTAACCCATTACCAGATTCATAAGTGATAACTGCTAGAGTTTGACTAAGAACGCACAGATAACCCTGCAGATAAATAAGTAAATGCAGCCTGCACGGATCGAGTTTGGTGGAAGACCGGTCAGAACTTGTGTTAAGTTTTTATGTTATTGGGGTTGTGTTGGCAATGGGGAGGAGAAAGGGACTGACCCCAGGCTTGGCTGCTGGTTTCAGAGATGGAGTCAATATCTAGGCGACTTCTCGTCTCCAGGCTGACTGATCGCTTCTCCCCTATCAGAAAACAAACTGGGAGAAGCCGGAGATAGGGGGCTCGGGCCTCATGCCTTGCTCCAGGGCCGCCCGAGACCCGGGAGAGCGCCGAAGCTCTGGGAAGAGAGGTTGCCAGGAGCCTGGCCTGTACGTCGCCGGGACGTTAGGGGACCGGACAGTGCTCCGTATACGCAGCTCGCGGTGATGGGCTGCAGACCGAGCTCGCTCGTCCAGCGTCGCGCGCGCTCCTATTTCAACGAGCCGCTCTTACACCCTGATTTGGGCTGCGAACCGCTGCAGCAGAGCTGGCGAGCCGCGAGCCTCCGCCGCCGAGGTTGGGGGTTGGAGAGCTTCCTTGTTTCCCAAGAGGGTTACTCCGACTTCGAGTCGGGCCTGCCTTCCCCCGGGAGCGATACATGACTTACTGGGGCTCGCAGGGAACTTCTCCAGCCGTCAGTTCCCGGGCGTAGTGTGTGCAAAACGTGCACCCGAGCGCTAGGTGCAATTGACATAAACTTGTGGGCTAAAGTTCAAGCCGTTTCCTTCCAGAGTCTGAACCTTTTCTCTCTCTCTCAGCTTCCTTTCTTCCCCCTTCTCCCCCTCCTCTCCCTGCCCTCCTCCCTTTTAAATGTCAAACTGAGCAGATGGTTTTAAGGTGTGGAGGGCATATATCCTTTACTGCTGCCAGTTTATTTGTGGCCTGGCGCTAACGTATACTTTCTGGGATACTTAAAGAAAGTAATAGGACGAAAAAGAAGAAAGGAAGTAGCTTCGATCCGTTCACAGAACCCAAATTTCCCCGCTCAGTACCCCCGCTTACCTCGAAAGGACCCAACCAATAGAAGCATTACTCCATCCTGCAGCTAATGGGCACGTTGATAGATTATTTCTATCCCCAGCCTAAATTTGTCACATCTCGATTAGAACACTTGATACAATAGCAGATCATTGGAAGTGTGAGTAGTGTGTTTGCGCGCGTCTATATTGTTTCCATAATGGGGTGGGGGCGGTGTCTAGAGGCGGCAAAGGGGGAGAAATGAAGGCTGGGGATGGTCAAGCAAGTCTTTTTTCTTATCCCCAAACACCTAACCGGGCCGGCCTGATTTTTCTTCTTCTTCTTTTCAATGTCTGAATCCCGTGCCAAAAGTTTCCTACGGGGTTTGGACTCGAACATACTGTTATCACTAGTCTTATTCAAAGATTAGACTTCTTCGCAGTTTGATGAATTTGAGGCTGAAATTGTAAATGTCCTAGGAAAAGTGTGTACATATGTGTTAGAGAAGATGCTGATAGTGGTCAGCCAGTGGACTTGTAACACAATTCATAAACACCCTGTCGTCAGGATGCAACATGATTCAACCTTTGATCTGATTAAATTCGAGGGACACACCAAAAGTACTTGTCCCCATCCTACAAAAAAAAAAAGTGTCTAATCGCCTAGGTGTGAATGTTTCTGCTTCGCAGCCCTTGCAAGTCCTAGCTTTTATAGGATCTTTAAGTCATAAACGCGGTTGCTTTATTAAAAGCCGTTTACTGTGCCGGGTGAAAAAGACGTTCTAGCTGTGGCTGGAAACTTGCTCTTTAGCATTTGCAACTTTCAAATCCCAAGAAGCTCTTTAAGAGCCACATTAAAGAAATCTTGCTGGTTATTTTTCGTCCAAGAAATGTGAAAGCCAAGTGAATTTTCTATAGATTGACTTAGAAGCCCGAAATTTTAAGCGTTTGAAATTTCTTACCTAGGAAACTTTTAAGTTTGTTACCCAGGCATCAAAACTGTGTAAATCCTATAGGAAACCTGTCTTTGATCATTCTGGGATGAGTGAGTTACTGAGCGGTAGTCGCGTGGTAATGTTTGTAACATTATTTTTCCCGTAAAGGTTGTTGTACCTACAATCCAAAAATCGTCGTTAGAAGTAACCCAAGACAAATATTCTTCTTCCTAACAAATTTGACGGGAGATTGACTGGGATTCAGCCAGTACTGATCTTCTAATACCAGATGCAGCGGAGTCGGTGTGAAATCTCTGGCACCTATTATTTTAATCCCAAACCTACCTGTATTTATTGTCCACCTCCCCTTTAAAAGGAAGCAAGGGTGACATGTATTCCTGATACTAGCTATGATCATTTAAAAAGTGTAATGATTTGAAGATCTCCACTCCCTCCTCCTATACCACCCCACCCCTAAAAGCCCCCACATTTTCTCCAGTATACTTTTCCGTGCCTTCCTCCACCCCTGTCCGAGTAGCGCTCACTCGCTCGGCCGCTCGGCGAACTCGATCAGCTGTATCTGGGAAATGAAGGGGGAAAAAAAGGGGACCTACGTCCTGGAAGAGCGACTGTGAGCCGAGCGCCGCTCGCGCGGTCGCC